AATTTTGTATATATTTAATATTTTTAATTATTAAAAATGAAATTTTATTTAAAAGTAATAGATTTATAATAAATTTTATAATATATTTTAAAAAAAATTGTAAGTTTATATGTAGAATTTTTCATAATAATTGATTGAAAATTATAACTAAATTTGAATGAAAATCATTACCATTTAAGGGATAATTTTACCTTTTTCAAATTTCACAGATTTTTTAATATAATTTAACTAAGTTTTACTTTTACTATTTAGATGTTTAACTAAATCATAATAATTATATGAGGTTTTTACAATAGAAAAGGTAAAATTACTAGGAAAAAATCAATTTTTACTTTTATATGGCAAATATGATTTTTAGGTTAAAATATATTCAAATTTAGTATTAATTTATCAAAATTATAAAAATTAAATCATTTTAAAATATACAGAATTATAATACAAAATTGTTAAATATATATATAAATCTTATATAAAATGTATTATTTTCTTATTTTTATTTTTTATATAATTTAATAAGCTATCAATAACATCCTATAAATAAATCTTACCAATATCAAATAAGACTTTGTTAAATATAATTATATTACAGATTCTATAATAACAGTAATATAAATATGATAACATGTTTACATTACTTATCATATGAAATTCAAATAAATTCAGATTAATTTTACTTAAAGTATTATTTAAAAAATAAATTTATTTTAAAAGAGTAATAAAAATAATCATAATAAAATCATATTAAAGAATAATAAAATAATTATTATCGTTATGTGAAAAAAAAAATAACCTAAAACATTTGATTGGACGATCAATTTGAACTATCAAATTACAATTTGTTTACATAGAGCTTTGAATGGCCCAAAGAGTTACCGAAGCATTTTTTTAGAAAACGTTTTTACATTTTTCAAATTAAAAACCTTTTTGAAGTTTAATTAATTCGATCTATAAACCGTAAATATGGACACTTCTCTTCCAACGTTCGGACGACGAATTTCGCCTGCTCAAGGTCGAGGTCGTGCTTCTACACTTCCAACGCTGTCAACCCGTTCACGAATACCATCACCATTTATTGGCGGTGGTGGCGGTAAACCAAATTTGCAACCTGCGTTAATGCAGCAACAACAATTTGAAGCAGCGACAGCACAAGAAGAGGAAGAAGAGGAACTTCAGATAAATCCATCTCCAAACAGGCGTAACAATTTAAACGCGTATGGAGTTCCATCAAGACACTCATCACGTGGTAACTCTTATTCTTTACCAGCAAGACAAAATGTACCTAGCAACTTAAATGATAAAATCAGAGTATGTGTTCGCAAACGACCACTTAGTAAAAAGGAGCTTGCTAGAAATGAAAAAGACATTGCCATTATCAATGGTCAGAGGACTGTTCACATCAATGAACCGAAGTGAGACTTTTATAATAATATTAAATATTTTGACTAATATATATAAAAAGATTTGGAAGGAAAATTTTAAATTTTCTTTATTAATTTAATTAGAACTAAAGTAGATTTGACCAAATATGTTGAACAACACACATTCATATTCGATGATGTGTTTGATTCTGATGCTAACAATGAAATGGTAAAATAAAATTTCTAGTACAATTTAACATTCTATATGGGGTTTTTGATTTTTTTTTTACAATTTGTTAGGTCTATAAACGAACGGCTTTGCCATTAGTCGAATATATTTTTCATGGAGGAAAAGCAACGTGTTTTGCATAGTATCCTTTGATTTAAGTTTATTTTTTATTTACGGAATTGGGAGTGTAGGAAAAGAGCTTCAACGCTTTTTTATAAATCCATATTGAATATTTAATTCCTTCACCCAGAGTTTTTGTGAAATTTTCTTTTTCTGATTTAGCGGACAAACAGGTATTATGCATAATATTGTTGATTTATTAACATTACTGTAAAATTTATAATTATTTTTTATTTAATTTGGTTACTAGGGAGTGGCAAAACTTTCACTATGCTTAATGAGAAACATGGTCAGTACTGTAATAAAAACAAAACTTGTAGATTCTTAAACATCTAAATAATTTGAACCTTTTCTTTTTTAGGTCTTTATGTCTTGGCTGCCCGAGATATTTTTACATTATTACAGCGGCCAGAATTCAATTATTTAGCAGCATACATAGGATTTTATGAGATTTATCAAGGACATCTATACGATCTGTTGAATCAACGAAAGAAATTATTCGCGCGAGAAGATGGCAAGAAAAATGTTATAATTTCAGGATTACAAGAATATGCAATCGATAATGTTGATAGTCTAATGCAAGTCTTTGATTATGGAAATACTGTTCGAAGCACTGGTTCGTTAATGTTTTATTAATATTATTTATTTAGATTTGGAATTTGACATCTCTTTGTTTAAAATATTTTTAGGTAGCACTGGAGCAAATGAAGATTCATCTCGATCACATGCAATCTTACAAATAGTATTGAAACAAAAAAAGAACAGAAAGAAGTTTCATGGTATTTAATTTTACGACTTTATGATGTGATATTTAGTAGTTTAATAGTAATTGGTAAATATTTATTGATTTTCTTGATTAGGTAAACTCAGTTTCATCGACTTGGCTGGAAGTGAACGAGGTGCAGATAGAGGAGACGCTGATAAGCAAACAAGGCATGCGATATGTTGGGTTTCTGTCCGCATTTTTTTTCCGCATTATTTTAATCATTTCTTGAAAGGATTCCCTTGACGATTAATTTTATTGTAGAATGGAAGGTGCCGAAATCAACAAAAGTTTGTTGGCTTTAAAGGAATGCATTCGAGCTCTAGATCAAGACAAAAGACATACCCCTTTCCGTCAGAGTAAATTAACACAAGTATGTTTTTTTATAAACTCATAATGAATATTTCTACTTGTATTTAAACTTATATTTAAATCTTTAATTTTTTATTCTATTTTTTTTTTTTATATAGGTATTAAAAGATTCCTTTGTTGGTAATTCAAGAACCTGTATGATTGCAACAGTATCACCAAATATTTCTAATAGCGAGCACACTTTAAACACATTAAGATATGCTGATAGGTATGTTAATTGTTCGTTATAAAATCCATGTATAATTATATTAATTCTTTCGTGTTTTGGATCATTGGATATTCAGAGTTAAAGAGCTCAAATCGGAACGAGATCGTGCTGAACGTGTCGCTGCAGGCCTTGAATTGGCTGCTAATGAACTACGTGGATTAACTGATGAACAGAGACAAGAATATTATAGTCAAGCACAAGCAAAATTAGAAGCGGAAGAAGGGTATGAGGGTTATGAAGGTTATGAGGAAGGTTATGAGGGTTATGATTATGAAGAAGAGGATCCTGCATTTGACGATGAAGAAGAATCTGACTTCTTAGAAGAGGAATTTCCAAGTGATGGAGATAATGATCTTTTTGGCGAAGAAATGCCCTCGGATGGCTTCGTTGATGAAGATTTTATTCATGATCATCGTAGTGCATCCGCAAATTCTTTTGATAAGACTACAGATATTTTGTCAAAATTAAATGTTAATGATACGCCTAACTCTCATAGAACAACCTCAACTATTACCTCTCATGTTAATTCTCCTTCCTCATATGTACCAAGTTCACCGGATTATAATACTTCTCCAAATTCTGTTCACTTACCAACGGCATCTGAAAATTCATCATCACAAGGTGGTATTACTCACGCGGATATGGAAGACTTCCTTAAACGTCATCGTCACGAACTTAGAGAAGTAAGTGAGGCTGGTAAACAAGAAACAAAATTATTGGCCAACTTTACTTTAGGCATGAACTCAAACAATGATATAGGTGCGGATCATGAACTTACTGTAGACGCTTTTGAAAAATATCTTGATGAATTAGATTCACTATTGGAAGCTAAGGAGCAAAACATTTCTGAACTAAGACGCAAGATCAATCAACTTTGGCGCCGATAAAACGCTGGTAAATGGATGTTAAGTTTCCATTATTACCTTTCTGGAATAATAATATTATATTAGTATGAGTCTGATTGGAAAAAAAGATACCATAATTTCGTTTAATTCAAGAGAAATTTAAAGGAAGTTATATAAGAATATAAATTATGTGATTTATTTGTGGTCTGCTTAGATTATGGATTATTATTTTTTATATATTTAAGAAATTTTTCTTTAACGTTCCAAGATTATTTTCTTTTCTTTCTTTTTTTGATTTTAATTATTTGGTTTTTTCCATTGACAAAATATTTTTTCTGAATTATCAGATTCTAAATTTATCATGACTATTGCGTTCATATCATTTTGTAGATATAGATATTTGGATATTAAAGATATTATATTAATTGGCTATCATTTAATTATGTGATGTATTTTTATTTATTTGAATGGGAAGCGACCAAATAATTATGGTTGAAGTATTCTCCATTTTATTGTTTTTTTATTAGAATTTTGTAGTTAAAGGTAGAAAAATATTCATCTTGATTTTGTGATAATTTCAATGTTTTATTATTTCATCTATTTTAACACAGATTAACATTCGTGATCATAATGTTTATATATATCGTCTTTTTTTTTATTTGAATTATTTATAATGATGTATATTTTTTTTACTTAGAAATTTTTTCATTTAGTATTATTTTTTTTTTTTAAAAAAAAAAAAAAATTAGATTTATTTGTCAAAATTTAAATAATTGGTCAAATTTGATAAACGTTAATCTCGTTATATTAATCATTTCAAATTATAAGAATTTCATTCCTTTGGGAAAATATATATAACAAATAGAATTGCAATATTTATTTATTTTTTTGTTTAAAATAACATTTCGGAATTATAAGTAATAATTTGATGATATTATTTAATAGCATTACAAATAAAATTTTAATATTTATATAATATTTAATATTCAATCATAAATAATAAATTCAGCAATTAGATATTTTTTTTTAATTAATAAACTTAATAATTAATAACAATTTTTAAAATGTGTCAATAATTTAATTATGATATATTTATTTATATATAAAAATAAATTTTTTAATAATAATATTTTTAGGCCGGGCAAAATAAATTTTTAGATTCTCGTGACAAAATTTTAAATTTGACACGGTCACCCGGCCGGTTTTTTATTTTTTATATATAATTATTTTTTATATGTACTTTATATTATACTGTATGTTAAATTTTTATAATAAAGTAAATGCCACCATTACGATTTTCATTATATAAATTCACGTAAAAAAAAATTTTTTAAATGAATTTTGAATTAATCTTAAATAAATATTAGACAAATTTTAAATGAATCTCTAATGAATATATTGATATAAAAAGTTATTTAAAGATTTAAATATATTTTATTTAATTATTAATTATAATTAAACAAATTAAAAAAATTATAATGTAATTTTTATATATTATATTTCATAAAATAAAATTTTTAGTACTTAATATTTGATATGTTTAATACTAATTCTAATACTACAGTCAAAGTTGGATGTAATGATGCTATTATATGGGAGCTGATCTATTAAAAATGGGTTACAGGACTAGTAAATTGATTTTGAGTAATTGATTATCAAAAAATAGTTATGCTATAATAAACATACTTAGCTAATAAAAAATTGCACTAAAAATAATATTGAGTCTAATCAATTAATAAGGCGATACTTTAATTTTATATATATAACAT